AGAGCTCAGTACTCGCGACATACAGAACTTTCTAGAGCCCAGACCCCACTTTCTAAAGAAGCTTACCCGGCCGAGCCCCTACAGGCCACACAGAACAGAACAAGACGGAGACTATAGTGCGAGCAAAGCACCAGCTTCCCAACCAAAATGGAGGAAACGCGGGGAATACACTTCCCTTCCGTTTCCCTGCTTTCTACAATACCGAACAATACAGACACCCAACACCCCGCTCCCCCCCGCCCCCGCCCTCAGTGGCTTCTATAGGATTGCTGACGCTTAGAGATCCCGCCCGCAACCCTAAGTTTCTTGACCAGCGGGTCCAGTACGCGGGCTTGCTTTACAATTGCAAAGCCTGGCTTGCTTTTGCTATTTCTGCTCCACATTTCCCTTCGTTTTCTCCGAGGACGCCAATAAAATCCTACTGTTTTCCTGGTATGAAGTGCATTCATTCAGTCAATTAAACAACGTTTTGTCAGGATCTGCCCGTCCTGACCAGGCAAGAAAGATACAAACCACGGAGCTGATCGAGGACCGCAGGGAGGAGCGGGATCCAGTTGCGCCGAAACCCCGCGCTGCGGGACTACAAGGCGAGCGAGGAGAGGGGCCCTGGAGCAGGGCCAGGCCCACTGGTCACCCGCCCCCACCCGGCCCCCGCCCCTATCCGGCTCACACCTGCGCCTCTCTCTAGAGACCTGCAAAGCCAGCCCGCAATCCTTTGCCCCTTAGAAGTTCCCGGGCTTTAAAAATAAAGAAACCAACCTAAAACCCAACTCTTCTGCGAAGCCTTGCTGGTGGGATCGGTGTGCCGGAAGACCTGGCCTCCGTTTCCAGTTCTGGGGCCGACCGCCTGTGGAACCTGGAGTCACGATGCCCTGGCCAAATCCAGGTGATGATTGCAAGCCCCTCGCAATTCCGACGTTTCATGGGCTCTCCTAGGCTGAGCTTTAAATCCGAAGTCTGTGAGGTCGTTGAGCACAACACGGCTTTGCGCCCACCCGCAAAGCAGGAGGTTAACATCTTGGTTTAATTCTGCTCTGTTGCTGTCCCAGAGCGTTAGCTTGGGGTGTTTAGCACTATTTTTTTGGGGGGTGAGGGCTGGGAAGCAGAACATATTTATGTTGCTTTTAATTTTTTTTTTTTTTGCGAAATTCACCTAACACCATTGATTTTAAAGTATGAACAATTCAGTGGCATTTAGTACATTCAGTGTTGTGTAAATTACCACCTCACTCTTTAGAAACTAGAACAAAATCCATACCCTTTAAGCAATTACTCCCCACCAACATCCCCTGGCAACAACAAGTCTGCTTTCTGTGTGTATGGATTTGTCCATTCTGGAGATTTCATAGAAAAGAAATAATAAAACATGTGACCATTTATATCTGATTTCTTTCACTTATGTTATTGAGACTCTAAGTTGTAGCTTGTATATCACCTCCTTTTTGATGGCTGGATACTATTCCCGTGTATGGATGTGCCACTTTGTTTATCCATTCATCTGTTTTGATGGACATTTGGGCTATTTCCATCTTTAGGCTTTTATAAATAATGATTTTATGAACATTCATGTCCAAGTTTCTATGTGGATATGTGTTCATTTCTCTTGGTTATATATCTGGGAGTGGAATTGCTGGTTTTCAAGGCAATTATATGTTTGACTCTTTGAGGAGCTGCCAGACCGTTTTCCAGTGTCTGAACCATTTCACATTCCCACCAGCAACGTGAGAGGGTTCCAATTTCTCCACTTCCTTGTCAGTACTGGCTTTCTGTATTTTTTATTATAGCTGGCATTTCAATAAATTAAGCTCAATTAATTACAGGCATTTTATTATGTCCTCACAGGTTATTTGGAATCATTTGAATAGCCATTTCTCATCCTTTAGTTTTACCACAGTTTTTAAACATATTCATCTTATTGTCAGATACAGTTTATACCCAAATTTTCATTGTTAATTCTCCTACAGTAAATGTTCTGGAACATGAATCTTTGTCCATATTTTTACTTTTCTATTCTCCAGAATATATATGTGTGTGTGTGTGTGTGTGTGTGTAGTTTTTGTTAATTTTTAGTTATTATTTTTACATATTTGGGGACCTTGCATAATTTTGATATTACAAAATTATACAAAGTCTGAATATATTTTTAGAAACTGAATTACTTGGTAAAATAGTATGAAACTTTAGGATCTTTTGATATTAACAAATTACTTCCCAGAAACATATCAATTTCAAGCATAGAATTCACTGAGCATATTATTAAAAAAATTCTTTGTTAATATATGCAAAAGTGAAGTGGTATCTTATTTTAAATTTGTATTTTTTGACCAATGAAATGGTTAAAAGGTATAGTTTCAAGTCTATTGTTCATTTGCATTTATTTTATGAATTGTCTTTTATCTGTATTTTTATTATTGCTTTCATCACTTTTCTTATTAATTTGTAAGAGTGCTTTAACATTAAGGTTGTGTTTGTGATAAGCTCATAAGTCAGTATAGTCCTTGATCAACACGGCAACTTGACCTAACAAACATACACCAAACATTCTACCTGATAGCAGCAGGACACACATTCTTCTCAAACAGACATGGAACATTCTCCAGGATATCTCATGTGAGGCAACAAGTCTCAACAAACTCAAACAGATTGAAATAATACAAAGTATGATTAGTGTGAACTGTGAACTTCAGACAACAATGATGCGTCAGTGTGTGGGAGATGCTGTGCAAGGGCAAGGGCTTTGTGCTTTTGGCTCAACTTGGATGTGAATTTAAATCTGCTCTAAAAAATTAAGTCCATTAAAAACTTAGTAACTGGCGTGCTAACACAGTAAAAAATTATACCAAAGCACACCACAAAATGTGCCTGAATTCAACTTTTTAATTCATAGGCAGAATATTCAATGTTCCATAAATACTCACTCATACCCTGATGGTAGAAACCCCCCTCCACCTCCAAATTTCTTCTTATACCTCAAGTCCGGGGCAATGAAAATACTTGGTTTGAAAAAAGAAAAAACAAAACAAAGGAAAAGCAAAGTCCTTTGTCTCCTCAAGCCCTTTTGGGAGCAAAACCATGGACAATGTGTACAAAAAGGATGGATCACTTTAAGTGTTCACCTAAATTCAAACCCCTTTAGGAGAGAAGACTATTAAGATGCTGAGGTCATCCAACCACTGTAATTTCTATGTCATTGACAACTGGGTTTTTCTGGGGTAGGGCAGGGGAGGCAAATCCCTCTGTGTGAAATAGTTCACCACAAGGGCGGTGGCCGTTGAGAATGGACCAGCAATGCTACAGGTGTGAGGCCAGCAACATTAGCTGCTTGGCAAGGTTCTCTGTGTATAGTAAGTGAGGCTGACCCATCAAACTGGCCTGCTCTGAAGCTGACGCAGTAGACTGGGTACAAATGACCAGAGGAATCTGGAAACATATTTTAAGACTTAGAAAAACAGAAAGAAATGTTTCAAATGAGTCATGTTATGTAGTTTGCAGGTCCACACAATTTGTAATAACTAAAGTTAGTAAGAGATCACCGTATTTAAACTGCCCTTCAGTTTCATGCCATATTATCTGTAGAACTCCAGCTGTGTGTGAAAAGTAAAGTTACAATGTCCAGATGCGACTCTCTGAAGTGTCAGTTTACTGTTTTTCCCGTAACACCAACAGTCATCGTCTATCTGTCAGCACCAGAGTGTGTTCCACTAGTCCACACCAGTTCAACTCGCTGGCTCAGTTTGGATTCCTGTTTGTTGATAGTTCTGCAAAAATGAAACATCTGGATGTCTGGTTGAGCCTTAATGGCCAGCAGGTGCAGCTTCAGACGCTGCCTCCTCTGGCAGAGGAAAATTCTGGGCAATCCCAGTATTGGGTCAACCAACCACATCTATTAAACAAAGCCAATTCAGGTGTCCAGTGTCCTTGTGAGAGGCTGTGGGGACCTCAGTTAACCTAAGTTGAAGGGAAATGTTGCACCCTGGGACCACATGCCATAAATCAAATGAACCCAAGGTACAGCACACACATTAAACCCAATGAAGCACTTCTAAGTGGCATTCTCTGAATTGCTGGACTGAGAACTCAGCCCCACAGCCTTGGCTGACTCGATGTCATTGTTGAGTAGTGTCATCACTTTCTTTTGCTGTTGCCAACCCAGGATCGTACCAGCCCCTTTTTCTACTTGCCTTGAATATAGGCCAGTTCCAAAGCCTCGCTGCTGCTAGTAATCAACCCCATTTGTTTCTCCCATCCAAGTGCTAACCAGGCCTGACCTGTCTTAGCTTCTAAAACCCCACTTGTTTCTGACTGGTGAGGAAGGAGTGAGAAAACGGAACATGTCCTGGGACCCTGGAACGGTCCTGCCTCGCACCCCTAAGCCATTTCTTTGCCAGGCAGGGTCTCTGGTTTCTTTGAAAAAGGGTCATGGCTGCCACTAGGACAGCAGGGTCCTGCCCACACGGGCCATTTAATTCTCAAGGGGTAACATCTGAACAAGGGAACAAAAATGAGTGGGCATTGTACCTCTATTGCTTGTATTTGGAAACACGAGATGAACACTGAAAACCCGTGCAGTTGACATAGTCTCAAGTCAAAAATTGAAAGGGAATTTGGTGATAAACCCTTGATCCTGAGTTCTGAAGTTCTAAATCTTTCACTCACTGCTTTATAAAATAAACCAATTAATAAATTCTTGGCAAGGAAGACACCCCAACTGCTGTCCAGGAATTCCCCTAGGAGCCTCTTCCCTGTCGTTCCCAGCATAAAATACTTCAGCTGTCCAGGCAAACCACAAGTGGGACACAAATCGCAGATAAAGGTGGGGGAGCAGGAAGAGAAGTGTGTCCAGAACGCCAACAGGCCCACGTTTAGGACGAAGGGTGTGGGCTTTCCTGGCCAGTTCAACTACTGCCAGTGGCTACAATGCCTAGAGGGGCAGGGGGCATATTTTGTTCTGTCCACAACTATGGGGATCCCTGTGTGAGGATTCAGAGGACAACTAGGAAGCAAATCTGTGTCATTTATTCTACCCAGTAGGCACATCCAGGAGCCAGATGCCGAATGCTGTCTCAACAGGCTGCTGGAAGGTTCCCAGGGTGCGAGGCACACAACTAACTGGGCTCTGCTCTCCGGACAGGTGGTAAGGCAGGCAGTAGAGAGAACGGGAATCTGGAGGCAGAGGACCCCAACACTGACCCCACACCCCAGGGATGGTGAGAAAGTAGGGTCATGATGGAGGGGGCAGTAAGGGCCTCGAAGGGCCCGAGTTGGGTGTTTTGAGGTGACGGGGCCTTCTGCCCAGGCCTCCAAGTCTGGGCTGCATGCATAGGTGGGGCTGCTGTGCCCGGCTGCGGCGCTGTCTTCTTCTGGAAGCGCCTTTCCTCTCCCTGCTGTGGTGAGAGCTTGGGAGCAGAAATGATTCATGGGGAGAATGCAGAGGCTGCTTGCTGGAGTCCCGCCTTTGGGGATGAGCCATTTGGGGCTTCAGGAATGAGATAGAATGGAGGAGACAAGAGAGGAGGCTAGAGAGACTGCCAGCCCAAGGGCAGAGGCTGGGAGCTATTCATGTGCAAAAGGTCAGAGAAGTGTTTGTTGGAATTGGGGGTTGGAGGCTGAGATACCCCTGGGTTGTCACCCCTAAAGATGGAAGAAGTGGCCCAGAGGCAACTGGCCACTTGGCTAGAAGACAGAATTCAGGCACCAAGTGAAAAAGACCCCACACAGAATGCCTCCCTCTGCCTCTGGCAGTCTCAGATGGCCCGTCTCAGACAGAGCCCAGTGGCCAAGGAGGAGGGGACTATTGCTGGGATATTGTGGCAAGTGCCCAGTCCAAGAAAGCCACTGTGATGTCCTGTAGGCAGAGCCAGGTCCAGCGGGCAGCCTCACTGAGTTGTGTCTTCACGCAGTCCCAGGTCATCTCACCTCTGGGAAGAAAGCAGAACACAGGTCGGGGTGGGGAAGTAGTGGTGTGCGGCTGCGTCACGTCATGAGGCTGCCGCTCAGCCCTGCGACTGTACACCAGTGTGGTCAACGGATGGGCAAGTGGCAGGGCGGAGTGAGAGACTGAGGAGGAACCTGGAAAAAGGGCCCGGGGCCACCATGCTCCTGCGGGAGCCTGGATGAGAGTCTTACCTGCAGGCCTCGCGGCAGCGCTGCTGGGCCTGGGCCAGGGCCTCCAGTAGCACGTGCCACAGTGGCAGCAGCGCGTGGTGGTAGAGAAGCAGGAGCAGCTCCCTCAGAGAATGGAGCAGCTGGGTCAGGACATCGGGGAGCTGGAGCACAGAGAACAAAGGGGGTTAGGGTGCCTGGGGAATGCATCCTGGCCCCAAGGACCCAGTCCATGTGGGGCTGCACCTTCCCAAGAACTCAGCTCCTGGGGAGACCAGCCCTTCTCTGACCTCCCTATCTCTGGCTTACGCTCTGGGAGAGGCTGGCGAGGCTGTCACTGAAGCAGGCACAGTGGGCAGAAAAGAAGCTGACTGTGGCGTTGATGTGGGTCCAGGCCAGCTGCAAGCTGGGCCTCACTGTGGTCAGCAGGTGAGAGCTGCAGGCCGGCAATGTCGCCTCTAGCCAGCTGTAGGAGACCGGGGAGAGGAGGGCTGAGCTTCCTCAGGCAGCGCGGCTCTCTCCACAGACTGTCAAAGCCCTCATACTCTGAACGCCCAATCCTTCTCTGTCGCCTCTCTTCCTTCCCCTCCCTGGGAGGTGCTCACCTGTAGCCTTGCAGGCTGTAGGCGTAGATCTTGGCACATGCTTCTTGGCCAGCAGGCAAGAAACCAGACGACTGAAGCAAGCGGCCAGAGAAGGAGGCTGGGTAAAGGGGGCTCTGGTAAGCTGGGAAGTGGGGGGCTGGGCGGGGACTGGGCAGACAGACACTACAGGCTCCACAGCAGGCCCAGTGAGGGACTGGACATACCATGGTATGTTCATGGGGCTTCAGAGCACACTGGAAGAGGGGGTGCAGGCCTGGGGTGGGGGGCCGAGCCCACCTCCTGCTGGGCCCAGTTAGCAGGAATGGTGCGGCCAGGTGGAGCCCTGAACTTAGGCATCAGAAACCCTACTGTTTGGCATCTGCCCTTCCACTTACCAGCTGTGATCTTAAAAGTAACTGACAAATCTTTCTGCGCCTCAATTTCCTCAAGAGTTAAAAAAAAGGAGACAACACCTACTTAAATGAGGCCATAAACATGCGAGCATTTCTATCCTGCAAAGCACTTGTCCAACCTGAAGTGGTGACATCACAGCTGTGGACACAAGTATCTGACTGAGAAGTGTTTGTTCTACAGCATCAGAGCAAAGCTGTGTGACGGGGGACAGAGGTGCTACACCCAGCTCTACGCCCCACCTCCATGCTGCCTCCCTTGCCCGATAATCCCTGCTTACCTTGGAAAGAACTGTGGGACCGGAAGTCATGGCACAGGAAACCTAGGACAAAGATCAGCACCAACAGGAGCAACCGTGTCCAGGGCAGCCGAAAGCCCTGAGCCTGCTGCAGCAGAGCCTAGGAGGAGGGGGACAGGAGCAGTGGTCAGAGGGAGGGAGCTGGTCTTGCCTCCTAGGCAGACCTCAAGTAGGACTCCCAGGGCGAGGGGCCAGGCCTCACATTACCCCAGAGGCAGAGGGGGCTCTAAGGACAGGTGGGGCAGGAATGCAATACGGGCCCAGCCTAGCGTGTGCCAAGACAGAGACGTGAACAATGTGTGGGGTGGGGAGGGCCATGCCGACACCTTGCAAGCGGTGGCACAGAGGATGACATCCTGGTGATTATAGCTGCCCTTCTTCAGCAGCTCCTGGTTGGTGAGGCTGAAGGACTGAATGGTTTCTTGCAGAGAGGTCTGTGCCTATAGGATAAGAAACATCTCAGTTGGGAGCTTAAGATTTGGCCCATGAGGGAACCCTGAGCCCCCACTGTGCTTCACTTCCCAAGTCAAATGTACTAACAGATTGGCCTTCTCAGTGAAGGGGGGACCGTGGCCAGGGGTACGAACCCAGAACCCAGATGAGGCTCAGCCTGCCATGTCCTTCCAGCTCCTCACCTTCTTGGGAATCCGCTCCCAGGAGCTGAGCAAATGCTCCAGCAGCAAGCTGTGGGCAAAGTACAACCCCTTCCAATCAGGGGGGGCTACTTGGCCCCTCCCACCCTCGGCCAGGCCCCCAACTGCTTCAGGCTGAAAGACTGCACCCTCAACCCAGCAGGCGAACAGCTTCCTAGAGGCTACACAGCAATGTTCCCCTCAACCTGAGAGGCATGAGCCTGAGCAACAGTCACTAATGTCCCCCTTCTGCTTCTAGGACAGAGACAGGCTGGGAGGTGTGACCTAAGGCTTTTCTAAGATGCCCCCCCCCACCTGCCTGGATTGTGACAGATGCTTAGGGTACAGCTGCCTCCAGACACTGGCGCTGAGGGGGTCCACCTTCAGGCACTCAGTCAGGCTGCTCAGGAGCTGCAGAGGAGACAGGAGCAGGGAGACAGATTGCTGGGCCTGGCGCTGGTCAGGGGAGAGGGCCAAGGAGCAACGCCCTGCTCCTGAGTGAGACCATGCAGCAACACGCCCACTTGAATGCGAGGAACAGTGGAGAAGTCATACGGCCAGGAATCTCAGAGGCCGTAAAAAGGGAGGCTAGGGCCCTGGGCTAGATCTCGAGCTCTAAGATCACTTATCTGCAAGAGGGAAGACGTGAGAGACCAGCCAGATGGTAAAGTGCTATCCCTTCAGCTCTGTTCTTCTAAGGGTAGAACATGGTGGAGTGGGGCAGGAGGCTGTTGGGAGTGGGCTGAGGGGTGTTAAGGGAAACTGGTCCCTGAAGGCTGGGCCTTTACCAGCAGACAGGGACCTCTGCAGCTGACCCCTGGAAGGGAAAAAGGAGCCTCCTGCCATTTCCTTACCTCTTTCTTCATTGCTGGAGGGCAGTTAGGGGTAGCTCTGGACAGAAAGGAGGGGAAGTAGATGTGCAGGGTGGATTCTGGCTTTGCCCCAAATGCCAGCACCTTCAATCGGGGGTAGAGCTGACAGAGCTGCTCCTGCAGGCTGGGGCAGGGGTGGGGAGGAGAGCTGGGCTTAGGCTCTACATGGAGTTTTGCGCTCCGCCCCCTCTGCCTGCCTCAGAGTCCACAGCCTGCCCAGGGAGGGGCGTCTATTGACCTTGTAAGGGCTCTGAATTTTGTTAGACTGAGAGACTCCCTGGAAAATCTATTGAAAGTCATGGACCCTCTCCCCAGGAGAATGCCCACATGCCAATCACACTCAAGGGTCTATATAGTTTCAGGGGGTTACTGATTCCTTGAACCTGCAGGCTGAGATTCTTAGATTTAGGGTGGCTGAAGAAGGGACAGGAATACACTGCCTGCTTCTAACCCCGTGCTGGGACCCTTCACAGCAGGTGTGTCCAGGGCGGCTCACCTGGGTGTCAGGGAGTTGTTGGGCATATAGGCAAAGTCCAGGAGTGGGAAGAAGTCCTTGGGGCCAACCATGCCAAAGCCCTTGGTGAGATTGGGGTGCATCCTGTGTGGGAAGAAACAGGCTAATTGGGGACCCCCCACCCAGGCCATGAGCCCAGCTAAGATCAACACCTAGGAAAAAGGACATAAACGTTATCTCACGCCTTAACGGTGCCCTCTCCTTCCTCCCTCACCACCACATTCTGAGCTGGGAGGAACTGGTCCTGACTTTCTTCACTTCTGTGAAGACCAGGATCCCAGCATCCCAGCATCCCATTTTACTGAAACAGCCACTTGGAGACACCTGGGCCCTCCCCGTGCTGTCCCCCCACAACTCACAGGAGCAGCCGATCCAGGTATGCGATGGCGAAGGGGGACAGGGACTTGATGCCCAGCACAGGCAGCATGATCCCCAGCCACACTGTGGAGACAAAGGTCAGGGTGGAACCTCTGGCACAGACCCACTGAAGGCATTAAAGAGGCGCTTCCTGGCTCCAGGCCCACCCCTCTCCCTTCCTGGTTAGCCTTGTTACCTCTCAGTCCCTCGGTGAGGTTGGCAAAGCCTGCTTGCCCCAGGGCCCACATTATGGTTAGGCACTTCGTTGGTCGGTTCTGGTGGGACCTCAGCAGTTCTAGGAACTGAGGAGACCAGCGGGAGAGGCAGGCTGGGATACAGCAAAGCATCAGGGGCACCCCCAAAGCCAGGCAGGAAGAGAGCTGTCGACTGGGAGAGGAGGACAGGCCGAGGGGTGGTGGGGCACTGAGTGTGGTGCAGTCATTCAGGGCGTGGGCGCTGGCACCAGACTGTGGCCCTCACCCACGCTTGCCACTCACTAATGGACTGACTCTAGGAAAGTTACTGAACCCCTCTGCGGCTCAATCTTCTCTTCTATCAAATGAGAATAACAGCAGTACCTGCCTCATACATACATAAAATATACGGTAAGTGCTAACAGTATCAACTATTACAACTAGTCTTATAGGGTCTTCTGCTAGCCCTCGATGGGGCCCAGCAGTGTACCTGCCCAGCACCCCCGGGGAGTCCTAGCCGCCTGGTGTCCCCACCACCACCCTGAGCTCACCTTGCCCAGGTTCATGGTGGCAATCTTGGGCTTATCTTGCAGAACGGCCTGGATACAGATTCGGTAACCGTGTAGCGACTCCCCTGGAGAGATGCATGTTCTTAGGCCCACACACAGGAACAGGCTCCCAAACCCGAAAACTTCCTGTTGGCAGCTGTGAGCCCTGAACTCAGGCCAGCAAGTCCTAACTTCCTCCTCCCTTTCCCAAAGTGTCAGGATTAGCAATGCTTCTCTCCTAGAAACAACAACCCAGCCACTCTTAAAGCAGGAAAAAGGGAACAGGCCCCCAAGATAGAGCTGGGCTACCCCTCATGGGCCCTTTTACCTGGCGTCTTATCCAGCTCTTGCAGCATGGTGAACAGACAGTGGTCAAAAAAGAACTCGAGAGACCCCGCTGCCTTTGCCAGCAGTCCTCGGATGATCCCACGCAGCTCCCGGCTCACCAGGCTGTAGGGATAATCTGGGGTGACAGGCCTCCACGTGAGCGCCAGGAGCGGAAGCCTCTGCCCTCTGAGCACACTGGGGTGCACCCTGAAATGGTGAGTGCCAACAGAGGTCCCTGCGTCCTCCCTACCCCAATAAGGCCCGGCAACCTTCACGACCATGATGATTTGGGAATAGCTCCACCCATGTAAGTTAGGGCACTGGGGTCTTTACAAAGTAATGTGCTTACACGTAGCCGTTTCGGAATTTTCTTGAACTTGTCTGAGCTTGAGGGAGTTGAGAGAACTAACCGTGAGTATGCTGGCTTAGTGTGGGTTCACTTGGAGGTGCTTGGAGCTTGTAGTTGAGATAGCTGGCCAGGTCCTTCAGCCACACGGACGGGTTCCCAGAGAACACACTCTGGCTCTTGTCCAGTTCCTTCTGTAGAGCTGCCACGTCCAGCTGCCAGGGACACAGGCCACCCACGGTCAGTTGTGGGTGAGTTGTGAATGCAGGAAAATTAGAGGTGGGAAAATGATTGAACTAGGCAGTGGTCGGAAGAACAAAGGGTGTCTGCTTTTAAATGTAAGTATGTGGAAGGCCACAATTTTGCTGTATCCAGATCTTTAGAAAGTTTAAGACAGCTGGAATTGCTAAGCTCAAGGCCCAGGACTCTTGGGCCCCTCACATGTTCAAGGGGAAAAACAAAGGACAAGATGCACCATGAAAGATCACTGCTTCCATGGGGCGAGGAACCACAGGCAGTTTCTCTAACCTCTTCTTGGTATCTTTGAGTTTCAAGGCTCTCTGCTCACTAATCCACGTTTCCCTACAAACTTCTGACTTCCTTTTTATCCTAAGAGCAAATATTCTAAGCCTTGGGGTTTCCACCCTTCCCTGAATGCCTCCTCTCAACCAACAGCGTCCCAAATCCCACAGGTCACTCAGCTGTCTGTCCCCCTCTGCTCCCTTCATCCTCCTCACACCTCCAGCCCTCCTTCTTCCCCACTAAAGTCTAGGCACACTCACAGCTTTCAGGGCCTCCTCCAGGCTGCGGAAGCGGCCCTGCTTCTGGTTTTGGTTGGTGAGGGTCGGCACCTTCTTAGTCTGCTTTTTGTTCCCAGGTTTCTTAGGCTCCACAGTAGGGGGTGGAACCTGCTCCTTATTCTGCTTCTTCGAGATTTTCTCAAAACCCCTCTCATAAAGGGTGCTTGTCGTCTGGATGGGAGCTGACAATAGGCAGAGACAGGGGGGCCATCCTTAGGTCAGGAGGACCTCACCAGAAGAGTGGTCCCTTCTCCCACACTGTCACCTAATTCAGCTCTGTGGAGGAGTGGCCTCAAAGCCCCTCCTTGCTGTACTGCTTAGGAAGCAAGCCAGAGAACCCTTCGGATTGCTTCTTTCAGTCAAACAGCTCTTGAGCTTCACAGAGATGTGAGGCCGTTGTTAGGACATCAAAGTATGAGGGCACTAGCAGAGGGTTGGAGGCAGAGGGCTGGCTTCTCTGTGGGTGGTTACTAGTCTGGGAGGTCAGGATTTTTCCGTGTTGGTTCCTCCCCAGGTCCTTGGTTCGGACGTGACAACTCCGTAATCAACAAGTGTCAAACTTTCTCCACTCCTCCAGGAGACTTTGAGAAAACAGGTGCCACTTAGAATAAGGCACAGCGGTGTCTAGTGTGTGCAGTGGGTCATTTCTTCCAGGCTGGGCCTCCTGTCCGTTCGCCCCTCATCCCACCTGCTGGTTACTTAAGGGGGGCCGCCAGGGACAATGAACCAGAATGCCTCTACCCAGCGCTCGGCCACCTGCCCGGAGAGGCCAGGCAAAGGCCAGTGGCAGCTGGTAGGGTGTGTGCGGTCAGCTGGGTGTCCGAGGACCGGCACCCTCATCCCTTCTGACAGGTGGTCCTGGGCAAGGCATCTAAGTTCGCCGGGCCTCAGTTTACTCATCTGCGAAGCCCAGACGGCAACATCCCTCGCGCTGTCTACCATGTATGTGAGGCTCCCGAGAAACAAGGCAAGGGGAGCGCTCGCTGAACCGGAGGCGCCGGCGGGCGGAGAGCTCGCGCTGCGAGGAGCCCGGAGGAGCCGGGGTATCCGGCTGCTCGGTACGCCCCAGCAGGGCAGCGGGCCCGGTGGGTACTCACGGGTCAGGTCGTACTTCCACACTCCGTTCGCCTCCCCGAGTGCCCGGCGGTCCACTCCGCCGCCTCGCCCACTGCTGCCGGCCCCGGGCCGTCGCCCCTTCTTCACCACCTCCCAACGCCCCCCACCCGCCGCCTTGGCAGCCATAGCTCAGACCCTCCCGCCACTGGCGGGTACCTCCCTGGGCTTTCCGGTCGGTGTGGACTCGCCACGCTTTGCCACGTCTCCTCGCGGAGCCTCGCAGCGCGTGACGGCACCCGCAAGGCAGCCTGGGACTTGTAGTCTTTTTGTTTTTGCTGGATTGTGTATTCCTAGCCAGTGATCGGGCGGGAGCTCCGCTCTCCTTCGCAGCAGAAAACATCCAGGCAAAGCTGTTGAGTCGGGAGGCTGATATATTCAGCAGAATGTTCTGCAGCAGCTACTGTGTGCAGGCCGCCGCATCAGGTGACTTGGAAATTTTAACTGTTGCGGTTTGCCTTTCTCAGAGTGCCAGAAGAAGGGTGGAATGGACATAGTTCTTTTCACATCCAGGAAGAGTTTGTAGATTAAATGCTTCCTTCCTTCTAGGAAAGTGTTTGTTTTCTTTTGCTAGTGATTAAACTTTGAGGTTAATGGGCTATAAAAATCTACGGTGAAGGAACAAGGAAGAGGGTGGAACTTCAGAGAAGAGGCAGTTTTGGGAGGGTGGAGAGTGGAGAGCCCCGACAGGAGGCAGAGAAAAGTCTGGGACAGCTAGGGCTTGGTTTCCCCTTCCAGGCAAAGAGAAAGAAACGGCTCTGGCTCCCACTGCAGTCGGTCCCAAGTCCCAGATGTGGCAAGGAAATGATCAACAGCCGCAGGCCTGAGGAACCTCTCAAACGGGTTCCTGCTCCTGCGCAGACCTTCGGGAGGGCCTCCTGCCTTCTTGTAGTGTCATGTAAGACCACAAAACCTGAAGCATCCCAGCTGGGGCGAGGTGGGCCGGCCAAATGAAAGTAACTTGTCCCAATTAAGGAAATGTGCTGCTTTGTGTACACTCCTACGTTTGGGGATGAGATTTATACCTGCCATACTGAGGTGCAAGGTGGGCCAGGCCTCACAGTGAGATTTAAGAGTTCAAACTCCTCCAAGATGGACAGCTGAGGGAGTGACAGATTCCTTAGGAAGATGAGAGAATCTTCCTAAGGGAGATGGCGTTTGAGATGGGTCCTGAGGAATGGGAGAATTTCCATGGGTTGGGGATCAGGATAGATGGAGGGAACAGGCCAGTTGTATAGATTTATAGATTTAAGCAAAGCCCTAGAGGTGGGACCATGCAGGGCAAGGCAGGGAAATGGGAAGTGGTTTAGTGACAGTGCTGAATGGGATTTTGGAGGTGATGAGATCGGAAAGGGGCCTTGCCAGCCAAATTTGGACTTTATCCTTCATCCTGGTGAGGCAGCTTAGTAAGAAGCTGGGGAAATTCCTTGGCAAGTGGAATAGGAAAACTGAGACAGATCACTAAAAACAAAAACAAAGACAAAACTAGCTGAGCAATTTATAGACCGGTACAGAGGGTCACCAGGGAGGAAGGCCCCCTGGTAGGGGGCAAAACTGAGGAAACAAGGACCTCACCCCCAGGGTAACCTCTCCTTCCCTGGCCTCCCTCCCTACAGATCACATCTGGGTCCCGGTTGTATGGGGTTGGCCAAGGTTGGCCAAAATGTTCATTTAGTTTTTTTCCGTATGATGGCTGTAGCAGCTCTTAGTTGTCTTTAACTTAATTCAGGACAATTTTTTTTTGTGCAGCCATTTTAATATTGAAGATGGAAGAAAATATGCAACATTTTTGGCCTGTTATCCTTTATTATTTCAAGAAAGGTAAAAATGCAACTGAAATGCAACACAAGACTTGTGCAGTGTATGGAAAAGGTGCTGTGACTGATCAAACATGTTACAAGCAGTTTGTGAAATTTCTTGGTACTACTGACATTTTAGCCAAATAATTCTTTGCTGTGGGGCTGTCCATGCTTTGCAAGATGTTTAGAAGCACCCCTGGCCTCTACCCACTTGAAGCCAACAGCAGGAGATAGCTGACATATGGTGAAAATGAAAAATATGTCTTTTAATTTCCAGAAGAAAGTAAATGAACTTTTGGGTCAACCCAATATTTCAGCTCAGGCCCAGAAAAGCAGACCAGCAATGCCACCAGCTGCGCTGAATAAGGACACCCTGCCCTGGCCCTGACCACCCCAAGGCAGGCCAGAACCCCGAGAGGACACACCTGGGAAGCTGATGATACGTCCCCTGAAGATGAACATTGGGCAATGCTGAACAACTACCTTGTCCTTTTACAGTACCTGCCTGGGATAATGGAGGAAAAGCCCTTTAAAATTACTCATGGGGATTAAAAAAATCATAAAGATCAATAAAAATAGGCAAGAAACTTGTTGGAGAAAGAGAGAGAGAAAATATGACCAGAAGTATGTGTAGTGGGGGTAGGAGTCAAAAGGAGAAGTGAAGGAGGGAGGGACGGTTGCTTGTTTTAGGCTTCTACCTGGAGCCATTAGGGAAATGGAGGTGGTCTGGAAAGAGGGTCGTGGAGTGGGGCTGCAGAATAAACAGCCCCAGCTGCACCTCAGGATGGTGAGGAAACAGCCACCAGGACTGGCCTGAACCCGGAGGAACATTCTGGAGGTGCCACCTCTGCGGTCGTTGGGGATGAGTAAACCAGGAGTCAGGAGGTGTGGATTCTCATCCAGGTTTTTACCACCTTGAGTGAGTTATGTCACCGGTGGGCCCAGGTTCTTCCTCAAAAAGGAGGGCTGGACTACTGCCGGCGCTCTGCGTGAGTGGGCCTGGCACCCACGTTCATTCTGCGCCCTCAGTTCTTGCTGGGCTTCTGGGATCTCGGTCACTATGGCCCTCTGCAGGAGCACACACCAGGGATGTAGGGCCGTGTGGCCTCCTGAAGGGCGTCCACATCCTGGTTCCCATGAGACCTCGTTCTACAGAAGGAACCACACGGGCTCTACTGTCCTTCTGGGCTTCGGGGCTCAGGGCTGCTTACTCTTTGTGACCCACTCAGCTTCTCTCTGTCAGATCAGCCCTCGTCCCCAGCTGGATCACTGTTGTGGGGTGTGTGAGCTTTGGCAAGGGGTGGGGACAACTTGCAGTTGCACTGACACACGAGATGCAACAGGGACACCTCCTGGCCAGGCCACCCCGTTCCCTGCCGGTCACTTCACCGGACTATCTGTCGTCACAGCCATGGCCCCAAACCTTGTTCTTCCTCAGGGATCAGGGGTGGGGCATCCATGTCTTCCCTTGGAGCCCTGGCACCAGTGCTGGGAGATGGGGACCAGGTCAGGGAGGGTGGCGGTGGCACTGTGCTCTGCGGCCATGGCTTTGGAGAGGGGAGCACGCGCTCAAGAGGAACAGAGTGTGGGGACCCAGGCTGGCTCAGCTAAGGGAGACATGGCACGAACTTTTACCACACGAGTTTATTTAAATAAAAGTGAACACATACGCAGGCTGGGTGGCCCAAGGGGGCAGGGGTGGAGGGCCGCTGGATGGGAGGCAGACGCACAGAAGGGTCTGAGGGAGTCTGTGTGGCATGAATGGGCTGCGGAGGGGTGGCTGGGGGCCTCAGGGCAGTGCTGGCCTTTGGGGCTGGGGAAAGGGTGGTTGGGGGGGTGACTGGTGCCAGGAGGTCATGTTCATCCCTTGCATGCTCCCCTCCCGCTCCCTGACCACCGGGCCCTTGGCACCCCCACCTCAGTCCCCTGATCCCTCTCCTGACATCAGCCTTCCCCTCAGCTACTGGGGAGTCAAAAGACAAAATAAATAAGAATCAGTGAGTCCTGCCATGGCCCAGCAACAGGGGAGGGGAGCCAAGCCAAGCACACTGCCCTGGAGCCCGTGCTGTGAGCCCTGGGAAAAGAACAGGTAAAGTGCAAGGAAAATCCAGTAAGTAAAAATATACCAATGACTTTGTCAAATATACAGCTGCTGGCTGTCAGGGGAGCGGGCGGCTGGCTGGGGCAGGTGGCAGGAGCACCCTGGGAAGTGTTGGCTGACACAGCATAGAGACAATGGAAATAAATAGGGGTGGGGAGTGGGCAGGCATCCCACCCACTGGGCCAGGGCCTCTGCCTGCCCACCTGCCCCATCCCCTCGAGCCCCGCTTGCCTGACTCCCCAATGCTGCGGCACTGACACAAAGCACCGGGCCGACTGGCTGTAAGGGAAGGATTATAATGTGGGAGAGGGGAGGGGAGGCGTGCAGTCGGCCAGGGCTAGGGCCGCCCTCAGTACTCGTCCTGGTCGTCTTGTTGGTGTTCCTCAATCTCATCGTCCTCGGGGGGTGCAAATCCTTCCTGGAGGTGGGAAGGGAGCGGAGATGATCAGGCAGGCAGGCAGGCCAGGCCGAGCATGTGGGCTTGTATAGGGAAGCTGGGAGCAAGGGCCCGAGTTCTAGTCCGACTTTCCCTGCTAGTGCTCTCTGTAACTTGGGCTTGTGACTTCAGCTCACTCTCATGTGTCCATCCTCTCCAAGGCTCCTAGTCGTAGGGCCGGTTGGGCTGGGGGCGGGCTCAGTGGGCCCAGGACAGGAGCAGGTGAAAGGCAGAGCTCACCTCAGTGGCATAGAGAATGCTGATGATGCCCGAGATGACAGGGCTGTTCTCACTTTCGTGTTCCTGGCAGATGAGCTCGATGTCCCGAAGTTTGCTGAAGTAGAAGTCGCGCTCCTTCTCCAGCCCATCCACCGTCAGCTTCAAGTCCAATAGCTGCTTGGGGCGAAGAAGGCGTTCGAGCCAGAGCTCCCCTCCCCAGGCTCCCCTTCCTGCCCCGACACCCCAGGGGCCTGGCTGTGGAGGCAGGGTTGTCTCAGCCCCCCTGGCCCGCCCCCTCACCTGCTGGTTGAGTTCGAGAATTTGGGCATCGGTCTCATGGCCGCCGTTTCGGGCTGATGGGGGATTCTTCCGGAGGATGCAGGGCGGGGCCACGTTGCTCAGTCGGCCAGAGGTCTGCATGTTTTTGGGGCCTGTAGGGGACGTCCTCTGTGGAACTGCCCAGGGGAGAAAATTAGGAGGGGCCCATGTGAGCCCATGGCTCAGGTGGCAGGGGACAGCCTGGTGTGACGAGTGCAGGGGCAGGCCTCTCCAGAAGGCAGGCACGCATGCCCTCCCCTCCTCTCCCACTTGGGGGCATCTACATCTAGGCCTCAAGCCACAGCCACACTTGACACCACAGCAGCTGGGCAGCCCTGCGGCAAGCCTGGGGACAGCAGGGACTGCAGGGAGTACACAAGGAGTGAGGCGCGGGGAGAGAGGAGAGCGGGTGTGAGGGAGACATGAAGGGTAATGGGGTGGGGAACTTGGGGATTGGGGCTGGGAGGGTTGGGGGCCCTCTTGGACTGACCGCTGAAGCCTGAGGGACAACAGCTGGGGCTCGAAACTAGCGCCCGCTGGGTCTCCCCTGACAGATGCCTCAGCCCAAAGCCACCCATGCAGGTGACCTTGGACTGCTGGGACGGGAGGAACAAAGGAAACCTGCCCCTGCCCCCGTCTCTCCGGGGCTCAGGGTGGGCTCTGTGCTTGTCGGGCCTGCCTCGGGGAACAGCATGCTGTGACCACTTGTCCTCCAGCCGGACAGCTCCTAGACAGAGCAGGCTCCTTCCAGTGCAAAGCAAGCAGGTGAGAGGGGGCCGGCCCGGCGGGGTGGCAGCGCAAACAGGAGGGCTCTGCTATGACGGGTTCAGATGCGGGCTGGGACACGCCTCTCCCAGGCTCTCCCAGCCCCCGTCCCCCAAAGGCCCTATTACTTCATTCCCTTCTCCCCTGGAGCCCGTGTTTTCAGAGACTCATCTCCTGAGGACTTGGGGCTGTGGGCCTTTGGAATGGGGGAAGTTGCAAACACGCTGGCAAGCTCCAGTGCCCAGGCGTCCAGTGGGCAGGGGCAAGAAGGATGCGCGGCGTGGCACCAGGCCCTGGGCCTGGATGGGCCCGGACAGAGGAACCACGCCACGCGCTGCCCCGTCATCTCGAAGCCAACATGTTAGCTCACGTTACAGGGGGAAGTGCCCTGGGCCCCCACCGCCAGCCGCCACCTTGGCTGGTGCCAGTGGCTCTCCGTTGGGAGCCCTCTCCTCCCTACTGTGACTCCCCCGGGTCTAAGGGGGCAGCAGGCGGCGTCATCTGAACTCCGTGATAACAGTCTCCTCTAGGCTGGCAGGGCCGGGCCGGGTGGCCCAGGAGGCACTCCTGGCTGCAGAGCCCTGCCGGCCCGGCCCCCCACACTCCCTCCCCCGGCTCGGGCACGTTACCTGCTGTGCCAATGAGTTTCTTGGATTTGTTGAAGATCTGATCACCTGGGTTAGGAGGTGGCGCTACGTCCTGGCCCTGCCGCGCCAGCAGAGGGTTGTATTCCTTTCCATCATAGTTTGCGTCAAAGAATTTCTTAAACCACTGAATAAACTCAAAATTATCTTGGAATTTTCCTTTCACTAATTTCTCTACGGGAATGATCTGAAATAGACCACATAAGCAGAGAACTTCAGGTGCCTGAGGCCGGAGGGCTGCTTCCTCTGCGAGAGGCCGCTGCTCTCCCACAGACAGCCCCCGGCCTCCGGCTTCTCCACCTGGCCGCCCGCCCGGTGGCACCGGAACAGACGGGGAGGCTGCAGGCCCCTGCCTGGAATCCAGAGGCAGCTCTCCTCCAGGTGAGGAGAAACTGTGGGGAGGAGTCCCTTGGTGCTGCCGCCTCCATGTGGGGTGGGGGCTGCTGGAACCAGGGGCCTGGGGCCATCGAGGCAGTAGAGTGAGCAAGAGACTTTTCTTGGGCCCTGGAGAAGGAACTTGGTAGGAGCAGTATACCAAGCCTCAACTGCTGGGATGGATGGGGTCTAGAGAGAAGGAGGGGCAGGAATGTCATCAGGATGGGATGTGAAGTGTAGGGTTTTCCACTGTGCCTTGAGCTGGGGGAACATTCCCTCTGGAGAGCTGGGGGGTAGGGTGGAGAGAGGCGTGAGAGCTGGATGACCCTAGCAGCCCCTTTTGCCCCGCTGGTGGGCCATCTTCTTCCCCAGGGTCACACAGCTCCTCAGGGCCCCTGGGAGCACAGGCACCTACTTTGTCAACACCCATCTTCTTGAAAGCTGCTTGCAGCACCTTGAAGTTGTGGATGTATTCGTGCTCCAGCTTGGCCTGGAACTTCACCTTCCTCAAGTGCACGCAGCCGGGGAAGAGCATGTCCATGAACTGGCAGTAGGCTGCCCCTGTGGGGAAGCGAGGCTGACTGAGGCCGCTCCCCCGCTGAGGCCGCTTGCCTTCCCTTCAGTCAGGCCCTCTTCTGGCTTCCTCCCCCAAACCACCCCTTCTCTTCTTTTCTCTCCTTGTTCTGGGGCTGTGGCCAGTCCTACGTGCAGGACAGACACAGCCAGAATCCCCACGGCATTCCGAGAATAAGGGCAATTACTATTCACTGATGCAATTGCTCTGCACCACAGCAAACGTAATGTAATCTAACAGCGATCCCAGGGAGATGGGTGATATAATGTCCCTTTTACAGGTGGGAAAACTGGGGCCTAGTGAGGTGCAGTGCCTCACCCAGGGTCGTACCACAAGAAGAGCTGAGACTCGGACCCAGAGTGGCTAGAGGACCCTCGTGCTGGTAACCTCTGGCTTCACTGCCTGTCCCTGCGGCCCTGGCCCTCCTGCAGCCTAGACACGGAGACCCTGACTAGGTTAGGGCTCTGCGGCTCTCCTCCTTAATTTTAGTTACAAGTGACATTCTCCGCTGTGGCTCCCGCCTTTCCTCCTCCTCCCTCCAGCAGGGCCCACTTCCCCCACTCCCAGACTCCTACCTGAACAGAGCTGCTCTATCTTGGTGTAGTTGAGGTGCAGGGAGTCGTTGACCCATGCAAGCATATCATGGCGACTCAGATTCTCACTGGTCACAGATGTGGAGTACACATTGACGGCCATACCCCAGCTGCAGAGAAAGGAGAATGGCAAGGTCAGCACCAGGGGACTCGTGCTGGGCTTTAGCTGTAAGGAGAGCGGGTGACCCCTGGGGAAATGAGCAGCGTCTCCCTGCAGACAGCCCTGCAGGTTCCCTCCTGGAGAGGGGCATTACCTCTTCATTCTTTAAACATTTGGTGACTGTCTCCTAGATACCAGGGTGTGCTAAGAACTACTGCAACAGAATTAAGTGAAGTGGTCTCTACCTTCGAGGAATTTACAGACAGGCAAACCCCCACAGCAGGGCACATACGAAGTTCAAAGATGGCACAAAGAAGGGGGTGATCGCTTCTGACTGGCAGGGCTGGCAAAGGATTCCAAGTGGAGATATTGGAGCAGGGAAGGAGCAGGAATTTTCCGAACACACAAAGGGATGGGGTACAAGGGCACGGCAGGCCCCACGAACCAGCAAGAACAAAGAAACTGCTTATTCCAGGGCTGCGAGTTGCTCAGCAGGGATGGGGAGCAGGTTCTGTGTTGGGGTGGGGCACAGCGAGGCTGGCAGGGAGGATCTCGAAGGGCTTTGTCTGCTGTGAGGAGCAGTTTGGGCTTTCTGTTTAGAAAACAGGGAGCCATTAGAGGTGTTTAAGCAGGTGTATCCCTGCCAGATCTGTGTTTTAGCAAGCCGGCTAACCTCTGCCTGACTTCAGATCCCGTGTTCCTGGGTCTGCTAGCTGACCCAGGGGCACCTAGTTTCTGCTTGTCCAGAATCTTCCCTTACAACATGCTTCTGCTGCTGTAGTCAGTATCCCCTGTCACTACCAGTCACCCAGTCACCATGTTGGAGACCTGTGGGGTCATCCTAGAGAGCCTCCTCTTCCTCATCCTGGTATCTAATCAAGTCCTACAACTCTGCCTTCCCAAAGGCCCTGCTCTTCGCCACCTCTCCTGCTGCCTCGGGGCTATGCAGACATTCTCTCTGGCCAAGGTCATGGAGACCCCCCCCGAAGGCCATCCAGACTCCCGTCTCCCCCAGCCCTCCCTGCCACTACCGCAGTCAGCAGGTATCTAAAAGCAGCCCCGGCCTCATCCCTCCCCAGCTTAAAGCCCTGCAATCAGCAGTCACGCACGAAACGCCCAGTGGCCAGGTCTGCCTCGCAGACTTGAACTCGTTCACACTCATACTGATGGAAACATTTTTGAATCAGTGCCCGATATTTTAAAGTTGGGCTGTTTCACACAAACAATTTGGGATTTCCGGCTGCTTTTGGCGATCCTGGACCTATGCTCCCTGCACAGCAACCTATTTTGGAGCTGAGCGGAGGCACCCGCTCTGGCTAACGGGTGGGAGCCCCTCCCCCAATCTCCCAGCAAAGGCCAAGTGTCAGTGCTGTTTATCACTGACGTGCACTGTCAGGGGAAGAGGGGAGTCTCTCTTGTAACTAGACTTTATCAGGAGCAGAGACACAGAACACAGACCGAAAGGACTGTGTACTTGAGAACTGTGACGGTGTGTAGTTCTGGAGTGAAGACTGTTTCTGGAGGTTTACTATGCAGAGTGTCCCAGAAGGAACAACACACCCACTTCCCTGCCCCCAGCTATTGGGCTCCTTCATCCAGTCTGGTCTGGAGTCGAAGGTGAGCGACGCAGAGCCTGCCCCGCGCACTCCAGACGCTTTCACCAGGACAGCACCTCAGACTCTCCTGCAGAGACGTCCCTCCCCGCAGGCGGGACGAAGCCCAAGCATATGCGTGTGTCTGACTATATGTGCTATCTATTACCATATATAATAGGCCGCCTGTATATAACTGTGTAACACACTATATAATACCCTATGTAGAATGCATATATGTTTACACACACACACACACACACATACACACACACACACACATTATATCACTGTAATTACAAACACACCGCAGGTGATGCTGGTGCACAAGCAGACCAGGTATTAGAACCACAGTCCTCATCTGACACTAGGAACAGAGCCCCTGTCTCTACTCAAGACTAGCTCAGGTTCACCACGTGACACCGTCTCTGCTCTGGTTGGGGGTGGTTTTTGGCTCAGGAGGACTCATCCGAGGCACCCAGGGGTCTCCAAAAGGATTCTCTGCCACACTCACTCGAAGGCCCTGCCCTGGCCAGGCAGCTCAGCTGGCTACACTGGTCTGGATACGCCAAGGTTTTGGGCTGAATCCTGGGCAGGGCACACACGGGTCAACCGAGAAACATTAAGTGGGACAACGAATCGATGTTTCTCTCTCTCTCCCTTCTTTTCTCTTTCTAAAATCAATTTGTTAAGAAAAGGTCACTAAGCATGCAGCTTTCTCATTCCCTTGACCCTCATCACGCTGGGAGGGCAGGATGCCCTTTAATTCTCCTCTTGGAGACCCGGCCCTGGAAAGACAGCCACATTATGGCCAGCAGGTGGCAGCGAGGGCCTGAGCAAAGACTCCTTCAAACACTCCCCACCTTCCACAGGCCAGCCCCTCTCCCTAGCTCCACGGAGGAGAAGAGAGCCCTGCATTTGACCTGGTCCCCCAGAGAGGGAGCCTGGTGGGGTCAAAAGTGGTAGGGTCAAAGGTGGCAGTGCCAGGGGCAGGGCCTGAGAGGAATACTCCCAGCTCGGGGAGGAGCTGGACCAGCTGGGGCGGCTAAAGATTCTGGACTGAACTAAACCAATTTCCCCGTGCCCCAAAGCCACGTGTTAAACTTATCAACGGGTCCAACTTCTGAGGACTTTTTTTTAAACTGGAGGCTGACTTAGGTGGAGACTTAAACCAGATCAGCCTCTGGGGGCAGAGGTTTATAAAGCATTGGTCCAAGCACCTGGCCCTAAGTGCGCCAGTTGCCTCCAATTAGAGTGGAGACATAGTCTGAAAAGACTGTTAAAGTTAACGTACCCATTACCAAGGGCCGCGTCCCATTCCCTGAGATAGTGGGAGGCAACCCAGGGCTGCTCCGGTGGGGTCTGCGGGCCAGGCCCTGTGTGTCCACCGTCACCTCTGGCTCATGGTGACTGTCGGGAGAAACAGCCCTGATCTGGTTGTGACATGTGGTCCTGTAGGGCACCTGAAAACCCCGTTCAGGATCAGACTGAGGATGCGACCTCGGGAAGAGCCTGCTTGGCGGGGTCTTGACTGCTGTCGGGTGTGCAGTCACGGGAAGGAAAGGCTGAGGAGGACAATCTGGTGGCACTGTGAAGCATGTCCCCAGTGAGGACCACAGGGGTCATGGTGCCTTCAGCAGGAAAGGTGGAGCTCACGGTCATTCTGTGGCCTGGGGCCTTGAAAATGGTCATGACCGAATCTCACCATCCTGTGGCCAGAAGAGTTTCCAGAGACCATCCAGTTTCTTCCCAGATGTGGAGGGCTGAACTTAGACCTGGACATCTACCTTCCTAAATTATAAATGAGTATGTGTGACTCCAAAACCTCCCATTTCATATTCAAGAACCTTATCATCAGACTAAATCTAGTTTTGGTTCTTTGATTTTAAGTCTTCAGTGGAAAGCTGTCTTCCACAAATATGTCTTTAAGATAATTCAGGGCCCCACAGTTTGCTGATTCTTTGGTCCCTAGAAGACTCCTCTGCAGTCCCCAGGCCTCTGGCCCCCCGCCTGGCGTGGCTATGAAAGGCACATCAGACCCCACAGCCCTGCAGGGGGGCTGGGGCTGCCTCCCGAGGCTCTGGAAGGTACTGCTTAAAGAACAGGCTCTGGCTGGTGCATCTCTCCACACGGGGCCCCTCTCCTTTCTTGGACAGTGAATAAAAACTGCATTCTCTACACTTTTTTCTCTTTGCAAATTCTTTCACAGCCTGCATCACCAAACACCCGAACATTCTGGCGGCCCTTACGGGGACATTCTCTATTCCTCCCTCTCCTCTGCCTCCTGAGACTTGTGAACAGAAGAGCAGGGGGCAGCAGAAGTTCAACCTGGGCTGACCCCCCAACCATGTCTCTGCGAGGTTCAGAGAGAGGACCCCAATCCTCCTCCGTCTCTCTGACTCTGCAGCCCCTTCCTCACCCACCTTCACGGCCAGTGATCACCCAGTTCCAACAGCAGTTTTATTAGCCAAGTCTTTGTCCGGAATGTCATGATCGAAAGAGTCATGCCTGGGCTCTGGATGGCACAAGAAAGCCTTAAGGAATTGAGATTGACTTTCAAACTCAGTAAGAGCCCCTTGGAGAAATGGCCTGGTACCTCGCTTGGTCATGTGGTTTATGGCAGTCTTTCCAGGACTGGAAATTACTGAAAGCAAGAACAGAACTAACCACTCCCTACAGCTGCAGGCAGAAGGTAACGTTGGAACAAACTGGTACAACGCCCCAACAGCCCAGGGGCCACCCCACCCTTCTTTAGTCCAATTATCATCCAACAAAAGCTCAAAGCTCTAACTCTTCCATGCTGGTGTATCTCTCCACACTGTGCCCCTCTACTTTCTTGAATAGAAACTTTATTCTCTAAAAAAAAAAATCAAAATTAAAATAAGAATACATGGCTCTCTAGTCAGACCACCTGGGTTTCACTCTGGGCTCTACTAAATCCCAACTGTTTGACATTGGGCCTCAGCTTCCCCATCTATGAAATGGGAACAGTAGCCCTGACCAGTGTGGCTCAGTAGGTTGGGCGTGGTCTGGCAAACCAAGGGGTTGCTGGTTTGATTCCTGGTCAGATCACAAGCCCAGATTGCAGGGTTGGTCCCCGGTCCGGGCATGTATGAGAAGCAACCGATCAATGTTTCTCTGTCCCATCACTCTTTCTCTCCCTCCCTTCCCCTCTCTCTAAAAAGAAAACAAAGAAGTTAATTAATTAGCTTTAAAAATGGGAACCATAACAGACCCCACCTCATGGAGCTGTTACGAGGATTAAGTAAGCCATAGACACAAAGTGCTCAGCCGAGCCCGGTACATAAGTGTCTGGTAAGTGTCATCAGCAATTCCTGGGACAGACTGAGAATCCGAGGGCGCTTGTTTGAGAAGCAGGTGCCCAAGACACATCCGGGTTTGAGTGTCCAAGATGCCA